AGACAGAATCCTCCATTCCATGATCCTGAATGTGGAGATGATGGGAAGAATCCTTGATTCTTCAGAGACAATACTGGACAATAAGCAAAACTTCTCAAGGCAATAAAATTGTAACAATAAATTACCAATACATTGTTTATTAAGCAAAAAGGAACTTACAAAGGATGGAGCTTGTTAACAGTATCATCATCTTGAGTTCTTTGAAGATCAGACCGGATTTTCCTCAGTAGTGGGTTGCAGTAGCCTTTAGCAATCTCTAGTTTTTCGGCTTCAGTAATACCATATTCCTTGATGAGCAGAACATAAACTGCACTGAATACAGGAAATTAACTTCCAGTTCAGGACTCATATTTCATCCTTCTTCAATCTCCAATCCATGGCACTGTGTTTTCATGCAAATGTAGCCAGAACTGCACCACCCACCCATCCACCAGACAGAAGAGTCAGCAGAGCTGGAATAACCAATCTTTAGAAAATAAAAATGTTTAGTGGAGAAAATCCTAAAAACAAAGCCCAACAAATTATCAATGGCCATGGAATGTTGACTGAGAAGAATGAAACCAATGTTGGAGAGGGAATGGAATGGGGAAGATGGAAAACGAGTATGAAGGAGGAGACACATATGTTACAGATAATTCACTACCATAAGATAGGATAATGGCCAACTGTTAGGTTTTAAAAGGAGATTAATATATATAATAAATGACACGCAAGGCTATCAATGGATAAAAGCAAGGATACTGCAGATTATCTCAAGGAATCAGGAATCATGACTTTGAAATCCAGCCATCAGGACGCAACAGCAGCAGCAAGGATATAGTGTTTATGTCCTGTTTGTGGTTCTCCCACAGATATGTAGTTGGAAGTTGTGAAAGCAGAATGCTGCATAGTAGGACCTACCATGACTCTTCTTATATCTTTGGTATAATCTACTACTATGATCTACATTTTTAGTCACCTCACTGCATGCATAGCTAACTTCCTTATTTATATAAAGCCATTTTTCAGTGTACCTAAGAGTGGAAATAAATGTTGATTTCAAAGAAAGTATTTCTAGTTTTTCAAACAGGCAGAAAGATACATCTTTTGATAAAGTTTTACTTAAATAATACTAAAAACAACAATAGTAAAAGTATCAGTGCCTTCAATTTGTTAGATTGTGAATTCAACAGCATGGATACCTTGCTCTCTTTAGTAATACTCAATTTTAGAATTTAGTAAGATTTAAATTTCATTTACTTGTTCTACAATGAAATAGAAAACCCCAAATAGCTGACTATGTAGAGAATGTATTCCGTAGACATGGAGTATTGCGGGAGTGGGAGCAGCAGCAGCAGCAGCAATAATGGCAGGGAATAACTCTGGGTGTCTCAGGACTGTTTTTCTAATATCAGAACAAAGTGGGACTGCACCAGCTCTTCCAAATGAAACCAGAAATGCTTGAAAGGTCATTTCCTATGTGCAGGTGGTAGACACTCCTTGTTTTAAAGAACTGTCAAGGATTCTCACCTTTGGAAAGCTACAACTTTGAGCAGAAATATTTCACACTGCAGCATTCTGCTACAAGCATCACTGTTACATGTCATCAAGTTGCTTCTGACCTAAGGTTAAGTAAGGTATTCAAAGAGTAGTTTACCACTGGCACCCCCCAGTGAGTTTCCATGGCCAAGCAGAGATTTCAACCCAGGTTTCCTGAGTTCAAGTCTGATACCTATCCCACACAATACAGAAGCATTACTTGTCACTATATATGTTATTTGCCATCAAGAGTGCGATCAAACCAGTGAGTAATCTTACACGTTTATGCTATTGGTACCTAAGATTCTGGTAACTTTTAGGGTACAACCCTCTCTCCATACACTTGGCTTAAGCTCAAAATAGATACGTATAGAATTGCACTGCAAATCTGGATCCAAGTTCTAAGTATACATATAGGATTGTACTGCAAATCTGGATCAAATTGATAATGTATTGAAAAAATACACCATGTACTTAATTACTGGATAATCTATTTAATTTAATGTGAACAGACTCAAAAGGCACCTTTTCAATACATGCAGACAAATCCTAAAAACTAGTTAATAGCCCACATTGTGCAGCTGAAGTAATTAAATATTAATTCCCACTATAATTTATGATGAGCATGACCTTCACAAGACATTTAATTCATTGAGATGAGAACACTTTTACAGTAGTTGCAAGGTACATACCTGAGGTATCACAATGTCAGCTAATGCCTTTGACAATCTGTATAGTTCCATTGTATTTTCCAGTTTTAAAGAGATGTTATGCTGGACATCATATTTTATACAATCGTAGATATCTGGGATTTTGCTTATGTCATATTTTCCATTCTTCGTTTTAAAGTCCTTCTCAAGCTTGGCCCACCTACGCAGCATCAGCTCCAATGTTTCACTGTGGTAAAGCTGAATATCTAGGTGGACAAAGAATTATCATTTAAAAAAGTGAGCAGAAGTTAAGTAATTCAAGTAATTTAAGACAAATCAAAGAATACATTAACACATGATCACAGAGCTTGTCAGCATACTCTAGCTGAAGATTGCCTCATGTATGTTTTCTGCCATAGCAGTTTTGTTCTGGTTCAGATTTAAGAGCCTAATCCCCTTTTACAACAAAAACTATCAAAACAAACTCTAGTTGAGGAGAGTACAAATGAAACTGCTCTGAGGTCTACCTTTACCACCCCAGGAATGTTATTACATTAATAACATCCAAGAACTATCTTTTCTACCTCAAGAAGGATGCGCTACATTAACTATTGAAATTTTTCTTAACATTTCAATAGTCAATGTAGCACATCCTGCTTAAGGTAGTAAAGATAGTTTTCAGATATTGTTAATAACAAACATTGAAATTTTAAGAAAACGTTCAACTTTTATTTCTATATCACAACACAAAGTTTCTCTCTGCAACTCCACAGGTTTTTGCCAAATTACTATCTATTCTTCTTTTCCATGTTCAATTCTATAGCACACATTCTTCTTTCTATATGCTCTTCTTATGCCCCTTTTTCATTCCTGGGAAATTTCTCTTTCTTTTTGGATCTCACTCTCTGTTATTATGCCACCCCCTCCTTGCCCTATGGCTCTAGCTGTATCTCCACTTCTCAGCATCGACTTTGCTGCATTGCTCTGCTTGTGTATACCTGCCCATGATGTCTGCTCCTCTCTAAGCTTCACATCAACATAGTTTTGACTCTCTAAGAAATCATCATACAGAGAAAATGTGAAGTGCAGGTGAGCCATCTGTATGTTTGGCTGCAACAGTTACCTGCCACCAACTCTATTATGTACTTCTGAGTCAAGGAAGAAGGAAAATATTGCCTAGAGGAGGCAGCAGATAGATTGGAATCCTTTTGGTTCTGTCTCTACTGAATATTAGATGGAGGGAAAACTTGCAATTTCACTAGGGCTTGAATAGTTAACTTCATAGTTATAAGCAACATTTTATTCCTGCCTTTATTCTTTTATAGTTTTATTGTATCATTGTTTAAAGATGTATATTGCTTTGATGGTCCCGATGAAAAGTGATTTTCTGTAGACTAACAAGAGTTTACAAAAATTGTGTAATAAATTACTAAAAAGAACTCCTCCCTGCCCCAAATCAAGTTGCTGACGAAGAAAGCTTGATCAGGAATGGATTTGTGTGTCAAAGGACTTGGTTCTTACACTGACCATAAATTCCTGGTCTGAGAATATCCCCAGAAGTGCCTTGTTTCTTACTTCTTAGCTTATATCTGCCACTTGAAGCACTATTCTATTTCTGGCTTCAACTGGTAGATGTCAGAGATCACAGTATTGTAGTAAAAACACCAACCAGCTCTCACTTCTGTGATTATCACACAGCTATTGCAAGTCTGATTATTTGCCCACCATTGCTGCCAACAAAGGCCTGCTGAAAACTTTCACCTGTCCTTCCCAATTATTGACAGGGTTCAATAGGTCTCTATGTTCTCACATACAAACTGCCAAATTAACAGCCTCCTATGGGACTGCAAACAAACAAACAAACATACCCATCTACAAAAATGGGGGGTGTGTGACAATCTGCTTATTAGTCATTTTATGTGAGCTTGCTTTGGTCTCTTGCTTCATACCAGAACCTGCATCCAAAGAACTTTACAAATAGATATGCACACCCAGGGGGCTATCTGGAGGTACTGTTCGTGAAAAGTGCCTGTTCATACCAAGTGGAAAACCTGTCTAGAAACAAAGGGGAATTTCTAAAGCAGTTTTTGATGCTGGCAAGAATCCACAATTTCTGTGTGCCTTGATATTCAATCAAAGACTAACTGATAGTCCCCCCCACCCCCATTCGTATTGCCTTTATAGAAGTAGCAACACCTTTGAAATACTCCCAGGAACTCTTCCTTCAGAAAAACAACTGAGAAGCTTGCTAGCTTCTGCCAACAATGGAGGGATTCTTAGCCATGCTGAGATGAGAAGAAAGAATGCCCGTTTCCACTGATGGAGAATGGCAGTCTCAGAGTGCTGCTGACAAAACACAGACGCATCACCCTAGCACCTTGTTCACTTTGGCTTGTATTTTGAAGGCTCTCCCCTGACCTTGACTCTGCAGCTGCCATTCCTATCCCATTTCCACCACATGGCTCTGGAGCTGACAATCATCACACAGCTGCTACAATGATCCTTTTACTTGTTCCAGCCCTGCCCTTGAATAACTGCTACAGCCTTCTTCCTAAACCTAAGCTTAGCCATTACTACCATTGGTTCTGTACTTGCAGAAGGAGTTTGCTATCAGATTATAGCTGGTATCACTGACCACAAAAATAGTTCATGGCTAAGTATTTATGTATGAGATTACACCAATTGTTTACCTGAAGATTTGGGATCTTCCATCCGTTGTCTGATCTGAGATGTTAAACTCTGGATCAAAGAATATACCTTGTCACACGTCTTAACAGGATTTTTTATCACGTGCATTGATTTTATTAGAGACATGCTCCCAGATGGTGTAAGCTATAGAAACAAATAAAAGGGAATTTCTTAGCTATACTAGTTATTTTAATCTCTCTTTTTAAAGAACTACCCATTGGACAAAAGGCCAGTACAGTTCTGATAAACATCAAAATGGTAAACCTCAAAACAAAAAACAAAACAAAAACTTATAGATAGGTGTGTTGACAAAGAAATGGTAAGGCTTAAAATACTCAAGCTGAACATATAAATCAAGAGATCATTTGATACTCTTGAGACTATTTTGTAAGGTGGTTTTCTTCCTGCTTGCACAAAATAACATTCTGTGTCTGCTTTTAATGCCTAAAAACATACAGGGAAACATGTAGCTGACATAGAGGAAGTGCATCTTTAAAAACCCTTCTGTGACAAGAAGACAAAGACATATCAGAAAGGATTAAACATGGTTTGAAATTCTCTGTTGATTCTTTTTTGCAGCCGCAGAGTATAGGACTCAAACCAATGGACTGAAAGAGCCAAAAAGGAAAATCTGACTACGCATTGGAAGAACTTCCTCACAATAACAGGAAGTTATTGCTTGACTGTAGGATGGACTACCTGCTTTAGTTGTAGATTTCCTGCATTACGTGAGGGTTGTAATTGACAGCCGCTAGGAGGCCCTCCACCTGTACAATTCTTAGATTCTATAAAAATATTTTTTCTTATTTGTTATCTTAACTAAAGTATGCAAACTAATTCCTTTAACTTGTAACTACCTTTATTGCTTAGCTTTAACTAATTAAAGCAGGAACGGCTTATATGTGACCATATAGATGATTACATTTTTAGCAAACTCCTAAGAGACCCTTAAAATAGGCAATCCCTGGTTGTTTTAACAGTCTTTTCCCTAGTCTGATCCTGAAAATCAGCTGTGTGATTTGTTGTTAATTTTGATAGCATAACAGTCAACAGAGGTTCCAAGGGCACAAAACTGGTCCACCGAAGTTGGAATTTCAGGACCAAACTGTATATTAGTTTCTTTGGGAATTTCACAACACTGTATAAATATTTATCCTCTTTTTCCACAACTATGACTGTATCCAGGTAAACCTGAAAGTACATAAATACTGCTGTACTTAAAATGCACAACATGAATGCTAGTATGTTGAACTCCTTTTATGATATGTCTTCAAAAGCTTAGAAAATTAATTAAAACATCTTTTATGAAATTTCTAATATTCACACATTTTTAAAAACTCCCCATACTTTGTACTAGCACACATTATAGACTACCTTCTAACCTTCTCATAGTCTTCAGCAGTAAAGTCTTTGTCTCTTTGGAGTATTTCATTCAGGCGTGCCTTCACACGATGTTGACAACTGCTAAGAGAGTCGCTGTCACTGTCAAGTAGACCATTCATATTAGCACTTTTGACCATCTGGACAAGAATAGGAGTGAGCTCTCCTTCCAAAGCCAGTAGTCCCTAGAGAGAATAAAATCACTGAGCAGTGATTAAGGTAGAAGCAATGTGCTTCTTTCTCAGCATATACTCCAGATTATGTCAACAGTTCTTTCAGCATCCAATTTTTCAATGTACCTAAAGTTATTTTTACTAAAATGCATATTAATGTAAAAAATGCTAAAAATAGTGACTGCTTAATATTTGTGGTACTTCATCTGAAATCCAAAGAGATAGGTAACAAGGCCAAATCCCATCTGTACAGCATATATATGCTAGATTTGGGGGAGGCACTAAAATAATCTATCCCTTCCAAATCCTAGGAACTGGTTATAAATTTTTACCCTTTGTTCTTGGATCCAGCGGATTACATCCCTTTGTAAGCCAGGAAGGTGAAGGGAGCCTTCCTCCCTAGATGGTGCCTTTTAAACTTTATCCTCTTTCCTTTGAGACACTGGCTGTTGAACCCAGCAGTATTCCCCTCAGACACCAGTGCCCCCAATAACTGACTTTACAGCTTTAAACTATGTACACAGCCCTCCCTCCTTAAAATACAAAAATACTCCAAAGCATTAATCCCGCCTATCTGGTCAATCATGACGACTCTAGGCGGCTTACAACTTAAATAAAATAGACATAAAAAACGCAGATAAATATAAAATTATTCCATAGTGAACAATAAACAAAATCCAACAAGATGGAAAACAAACAGTAGGAAAGGAGAGGGAAGGAGGACATCAGGAATTTACTGGAGGGAAGGCCTGCCGAAACATCCATGTTTTTAGTTGATTTTTAAATACGACTGTTGCATTTAAAGAGGAAACATGCATTCAGTATGAGGTTGCCGAGCTTTGCAAGCAACTGTACAGTGTGGAAATGCAAGAATTGCTTCTCTGGACATCTTACAGTTACAGAAGAAGAACAAGGACCTAGAGGCTAAATGAATTCTCAAAACAACAAAATAAGAAAAAAGGTCCTAAATTTAGCTAGCTACCTCCACAGGGTTCAGCTTCAGAAGTTTCCTGAAGCAAGAATGGCTACACATTCCTTTACCAGCCCAGACAGCTTACATCACAAATATAACTATGGTCCCTGCTTGTCTTGTGTTAATGGATACGTTCAGTTCTTGTAGCCTCATGATGTGGACAGGACCCTAGGTGAGGTGACTCTTGGGCCCTTGTCCTTTGTGGATTATAAAAGCTTCCAGAGGAGAACTGGCACGGTAGGATCCCAGCATGCTTAAAGGAGATAAAAGTATGACCACTGCTGAAAAAGCCTCCTTGGATCCCACAGTATAGGAAAATTACCAGCCAGTCTCTAACGTTCCATTCTTGGGCAAGGCAGCTAGAGCATGTCGTGGGTTCTCAGCTCCAGGGGTTCCTGGATGAGACAGATTATCTATATTCATTTCAGCCTGGCTTCAGGTCTGATTATGGGAGGGAGACCACTTTGGTTGCCTTGGTGGATAACCTATGCTGAGAACTGGATGAGGAAAGTGCGTTCCTCTTGAACATAACCTCCCAGTGGCTTTCAGTACCATTGACCATGGTATCCTTCTGGGCCATTTCTCCAAGTTGGGACTTGGACGTACTGTCTTACAGTGGATTCTATCCATTCTGGGTGAGTGAACCCAGAAGGGAGTGCTGGGAGACTCCTGTTCAATGCCCTGGCCAGGGCATCCTGGTCACATGCCTTGACATACACCTTATAGTGCAACCAGAATGTGCCTTGGCTTCTCATTAATTAGCCACAGCAAGTTCTGCAAACCTTTTGCAGATATCAATATAATTTTGGTCAATTTATGCAATTTTCATGCATATTTAACCTCTGTCCTTGTCTATGCCATCTAGAAATTAGAGATGTATACTAGAGAGAAGAGTTCTGTCTTTCAACAAAAGATGAAAAATGTGGAGTCTTTTTTCTGTTTCTGTGTTTTTTGCCGATTCCTGAAAATAAGCCTCTTAAACATGAATGATTCATATTAATGAAAGAGGGGAGTTTGGTGTTCTTTCATGTGTCCCCCTTTTCTTGAACCATGCTTTCACTATTTGTCTGTCAAACTGCCTGGTAAATTTCTCACCCAAGTTTTGTGAGGCCTGCTGTCAGCAGCCAATAAGAACTCCTGGGAGGTAAGAAACATTTTGTATATGTAAAAGGGCCTGGATGCTCAGATCCCAGTGTTGATACTCTTTCCTTGTTTCAGAATCATTCCTGGTGGTGGGTGTGCTCCTAGCACCCTCCATCTTGTGTTGCCTGTGCCACTTTCTTGGATGCTTTCCTTTTTCCTGGATTTTTGGGTCAGTTAATTCCCCATTTCTTTGAATTATTTTTCATGCTGTCCTAGCATGCCTCCCTCAAATTCTCTCACTACTTCATTGTGAATCCCACACACACACTTTGGCTTTTTTTCTTTCTTGGATTATTTTTGCTGCCGGACTGACTGTTGCTACACTGGATTCAAAGAAAAAAAAAAATAAGAAAAGCATGTATCAAGTGGTGAAAGGAAGAGATATTCCCCCATATTCTAGCTGTTTTGGTTTCCGATGGCAGGGCGCTTTGATTGCAATTTATGCTGTTATTTACCTGCTTGCTTTTCCTGGTTTGGGGTGGTAGGGGACTCTGTGTATGGGTGTTTTATTTTTTTGCTATTTCCTGTGAATGTGTGCTTTTCCTGTTTGACTAATTTTTTGAAATTGTTATCCAGTTAACTTATGCTCTGCTTATTCTGTTAAAGGCATATATTTGGTGAGGGGTAATTTGGGCATTGTTTGCTTCATGGTTGTTGTTGGTTGTATTCTTGCCTGCTTTTGAATCAGACTGAATCTTTGTTGCCTTGCTTTTGCTTTTTAGAGTGGCTGTTACAGGTTCTTTAAGACATTTTTGGAGTAGTGCCAGAAAACATGAACGGAAAGACACAAAGCAGAATGACTTGAAAGATCAGATCCCTTTTGTCTAAGGAATACAATATTGATGTATTCTCGAAGGCTTTCACCCATTGAAAACAAAATCATTTAAAGAAAAACACAAATATGAATATAGGCATCCTCAAAGTGAAACCAAGACAGAAGTTTTTTGTTCACATCCCCAATGTACACATTTCATACAGAGTGAGCTGTAAAAAACATACTATGGTGACAAATGAGAGGAAAGCCCGTCTTCTTATGGAAGAAAGTCAAATAGCTAATTTTGCATGAAGTAGTCTGTCTTTTATATCTGCAACACATTTATTTTAGAAAGTAGTAATGGTAATTTTTTAGAAGCAGCTTGTGCTCAGTGTGGCACTTTCTATTTTAAAAGTGAAATTATACTTCTTTATATTACCTTTGCAAAGGCTGCTGCAGTCATCTGAACTCTTCCCTCATCAGAAGCATATATTTTGAGATCATGACGATAAGTACTATGCAGTCTAAGTAGACCACAGCCAGGAAATCCAGCATAGTCTCCTACCAAAGAAAAACAACCAACTTCATAATCTGTTTTTGTACTTACGCTTAGATTTAAGAAGATTTTTAAAGGCTTTCTAGGCTATTAATACAAAGGAAAATAAGATACCTTGGCCACCTGGATACATGCACCGAAAAGCTCTTCCTAGTTCCTCTGCTTGAACTCTGCCTGCTGGTGTCAGCTCTCCTCCCCATTTGAGAACTAAGAGCAGAGATGGTTCCTGTTTGCGATTATCTAAATACATAAAAATATATAGTAATACTAGTAATGCACAAGCCATTAGAAATGGTTAGAAATCAATTTGTCTCAAGACTCAACACAAGCTGAGCTGGAAAAACACATTTTTTTCTTTTTAAAGACAAAAAGCAAAAGAATTTCAAAATTAACCATATGCATCAAGAGTGAATTAATTAAATAGTTTTAAAAAGAAAAACACATTCAGGTTAAGCTAACAAAGGGATCAATTTAGACATTTCTAAGAACTGACTTTACCATCTTCTTCACTGGACGTTTTGGGACAACCATGAGGCAGATATGTCAGCTGAACTTTGCGATTTATGCCAGAAAAATGTCCATACCTAAGGACAACAAACAAGAGGTCAGGGGACCACTAAAATTGACTACATGTTGATTAATAAAATATTGCTGATCAAATGGATATTGCGAATATTGTTTTATAAGGATGTTACATATTTATTATTGTTAATTGCTGTCATATAGAATATATTTGCATAAATTGGTATGAAGAGAAGTACAGTTATGTTTATCTGGAACATAGTTTAAAAGTACTATCATTTGTAATTCCCAGTAATAGCCCAGTGAGATCAAGATCTAACTGGGTATCTCAAAGAAATATTTAAGAATTTTGGATGTTGTTATATAAAACACTTACATCTCCAACACAGTTTTTAGCTGTTCAAGCTTAGATTTACTTTCTTCAATTTCAGAATCATTGTTTTGTCCTAATTCTAGTAAGAGTTGTCTTGCAATATCAAGTACCTCCTAAAAAGAGTGATAAATGGTGTTAAATGGTATATAAAAGCAATATGAGTGTGCAAACATATATAGAGAAATGAGAAAATATCATGCTTGCCTGTAACTGCTTGGGCTTCTTGAGTTTTAGTTTCCCACTCTTATAGCCATTACATTTTTCAAAAAGATCAAAAAACCTTTAAAAGAAGCATGAGTTAATTAATAGAACATTTTTTTATCTTCTTAATGCAAACCTAGTGTTAATATGTGCTTTTAGACTTTAATGATGCAGAAAATGGCACAAATACAAACTTTTCATAAATTCACTGATGATTTTGGTCCCCAAAAGTTTGAGGCTTTTTACCACATAATACTGAACAATCTAGCAAACGATGTCTCCACAATTTGAAGGTTTGAAGGATCACCATGTAATTGAGATTTGCATTTACAAGCCATTTCTAAGAATGTGTACCTCATTTCTAAGCTCCACATTTCATCTTATTGCTATAAAAGATGCATACTTCTTCTTTCAGCAACTTCCAAAAACGCAAAATACATTCAATATGCAAGTTTGATTAACTCACTTCCAGTATTCTGAATGATAAATACTATTTCTTACTCTTAGGCTGACTGATTTCAGCATGTTTTAAAGTGGGAAGGATAACTGGAACCAAAATACTTTCATCTTGTTGAATTAGTTTATTACGTAATAATTATTTTTGTATTTATCTGTGTATTTTACGTTGTAAGCCACCTAGAGTGGTTGCAATTGACTAGATAGGTGAGATACAAACAAACAAACAAACAAACAAACATCTAAAATATAACAACAGTCTCTTACGAGAGAAATATACACTTACAATATACTTCAATACCTGGGAAATTAAAAACATATTGGCTGGCTGAAAAGTTAAAATTTTAACAAGCTATGCCTCCCTCAGAAAGGAATTCCACAAACAGCACATAAATACATAGGTCATTTTCTCTCTGATCACCAGTTACCACATTTCAGATGATGAGATGATGGCAGCAGCTGCAGAAGGGTTTCAAAAACTGAACCATTTATATAGGCAGTTTAGTAAGGGCCAAAGTGTTCCTTTGATGCTAGTATTTAGGCTAGGGAATATTGTATATTGATTCTCCAGTTAATTTTTTCATTCTAGTATCTATTCTGTTTGGAGTTCCATTTATGCACTGACAATCAGCACTTTATTAAGGAGGTGCCTGCCTTCCCAGGATGTTCATAATCTTTGCCTCAACAAAGACTTTAATCCTAATCTCTGTCCTGCTGCTTCTCTTCCAAGAGTTTATGAAATGCTTTCTGTTCATATTTGAGTTTTCTATACAGTGGTGCCTCGCATAGCGAGGTTAATCCATTCCGGATTAACCTTGCTATGTGAAAACTTCGCTAAGCGGAAAGTAAAAAGCCATTGGAACGCATTAAACATCGTTTAATGCGTTCCAAATCGGCTGAAAACACACAGTTTAGCGAAGTTTCCTGGGTCCGGCAGCCATTTTTGCGCCCTCGGTAAGTGAGGGGAGGGTGCGAAAACGCTGCGCGCGGCCATTTCGGGCGTCCAGCGGCCATTTTGGAGCCGCCGAACAGCTGATTTTCGGGTGTCGCAAAGCGAAGATCGGTCAGCGAAACGCTTACCGATCTTCGCTATGCGAGTTTCGCCCATTGGGGCCGACCCTATGCCTCCGCATTAGCGATCCCGGAAAAGGGATCGCTATGCGGATTCGTCGTTATACGGTGCGCTCGTTAAGCGAGGCACCACTGTAGTTTGATTATGTAGTTTTAAAAGATACTGTATGTTTGATTTTGCAGATACCCAGGTACTGGCAACTGGCAACACAAACAACACTCACATTCAATAGTTCACAATCCCATGAGAAAGTAATGAATATGCACAGAGTGTAAAACAAAGGAAAATCATGAAACTGCAAGTCAAACAGAGATTCGCGCGGCCCCTACGCTGGGTACATTCAAAATCCAACTAAAAACATGGCTTTATGTCCAGGCCTTCCCTCCTGCCAGCATTTAATTTAATTTAATTTATTTAATTTAACTTTCTCTCTTTTTTATCTATCTATCATTTATTTTTTAAAACAAACAAGCAAGCAAACAAGCAAACAGAAATAAGAAGTGGAACATGAATGGTGCTAATGAAAAATTCTAAATTTTAAGCTGTTCTGAATCCATATGGAACATTTAACAATGTAGAATCAGATGGCTCTACATGTTACCTAAAATGGAAATTCAAGTAAATGCAGGGATACATATCATAGAGCAGTTGACGGCGAACCTTTTTGAGCCCAAGTGCCCAAACGGCAACACAAAACCAAATTATTTCAAAATGCCAACACTGCAATTAAACCTGAATACTAATAAGTTTTATAAAGTACACTGAAATCCTGAACTTGTTTCCTCCAAAGTAAGCTACCCTCAGAAAAGCAGCTATATACTGTATAGGAGTGCAAATTTTTAAAGTGCATACCTACATTTTATACACTACATAAGGTGTGTACACACATTTCATTTATTTGAATTGTAGTGTTGGAAAAGAGATTTACAGATACCATGACTTGTTAGAAAGATAAGTAAAGCAAATTAAGTGTGGACTCTCACTAGAAGCTAAAATAACCAAGGAAAGGGTATTGTACTACAGTGGCATCATGAGAAGACAAGCTCACCGGAAAAGGCAGCAATGCTGCAAAAAGTGCAATGCAGTAGGAAAAGAGGAAGACTGCACATGAGATGGATTGACTCAATAAAGAAACCAACAATCTTTTGTTTGTAAGACCTTTTGTTTGGTGTTACAGTCAAAGCAGGACCAGGAGCAGAGAGACTGGGATTCAGATTTGGGGAACAAACTTTTGCCTGCTTTGGGGATGAGAAACAGAGAAACATGATTGCTGTGCACTTCAGAAATCTAGTCCCAAGTGTGTTGGTTGTCTTTTACTAGGTGTTTGCTGTTAGTGAGACTCTGCTAAATATTCCACTTCTGCCCAGTTCAATTTAGAGTCTAAACAGAATCTTGAAATACTGTACTTGCTGTTCTCAGCAAAAATTGCAGAGCTAATGCAGTGGAGATGAACTTTGGAAGGTTCCTTTTTTCATGGTTTTATTTATATTTATTTATATTTAATTCATATACCGCCCCATTAGTCTCAAGGCACTATTCTGGGCTGCTTATAGACAATTACAAACCAGGACAAACAAACTATGGTCACTAAAATGTAACAGAAAAAGCAATGACAAATCAAAAACATAAAAGTTAATGGCACCAACAAATTTTCACAATAAAGAGGACCAGATGGGAGGCGCTCAGACAGGGTTGGATTGAAAAGCCTCCCTGAAGAGTACTGTAGTGTTTTTAAAAACTCAACCCCCCTCTCCGTTGTATGCTTTTCTTAGAAAAGCTACTTTTGTTTTCACTTCACCAGTTTGTTTTGCAGAATATCCCATGACTGGTCACATCTATCATGGGAGCGTTTCTCAATGTTCCCATTTTGCGGACCTTGGAAATCAAAAACAGAGTCTGGGGACTTTGCTGGAGCCTCAGATTATCTAACCAGTATCTTAACAAAGATCACCTAAGGAACCTGATAAATGGCATAACTGAATTCAATTAAAGATAGGTGGAAGCATTCTGAATGTTATACTTAACCAATGAATGGATTAAGTACTCATACTGTTAACTTGTCCTTTAAAACTCCACAAAGATTAATGAATAATCATTTATCAAGCCTGTCTTCCTATAAACACTCTGGGAATAAGCACCATTGACTACAAGGGATTTACGCTATATAAACATGGATAGCATTGCATTTTAGAAGTGTTACATCACAAGATTGCAGAGTTCCATCCCATAACATATGGTGAAGCTCTAATTATACATTTCTGATATATTTCTATAGTACTCTAATTTTTCAAACAGCTCTAATTTGCCAAGTTAAAAGTCTCTCTCTCTCTCTCTCTCTCTCTCTCTGTCTCTCTCTCGTATGCTGCCCAGGCTATTCTGGGTAGATAGCCAGGCTATTTTGGGTGGTTTGCAACACAATCAAATGAAAAACATACAGTAATTACAAGTATAAAATAAATTCAACATATAAAACATCATAAAATATAATGACAATTAAATAACCACATAATAAAATATTAGATATTTAAATATTTCAAATTATGGAGAGGGCAGACAAATCTTTTAATCAAAGTTGTTTTAAGACAAACATGTTTAGGCTTCTTTTGTTAATTTCCCTACTTTCCAGAAAAAGACATTGCAAGGCCATATTTTGGATTAAAATTAGAACTATGTGGAAAATGCCTTAAAATTACTTCCACCTCCCACTCTGTCAATCAGAAAGCAATTTGTAAGG